AGCTCGGCTGCGTGGACCGCAGATCTCAGAGGTTGTGTTTCCAAGCAGTACACTCCACCAGCTGCGCAGACACCCCTTCTGGCTGGTGGGCCCCGGTGGCAACACTGCCCAAGTGGTTCCTCAGAAGCTTAAGGGCCACTTTTGTCTATCCCAAACCTGCTGAAACCACCGACCCCTCATGTGGGCACTGGTGGCCTTCTGACCTCAGATGGCCCAAACTCCACTCCTGGAGCAGCCACGTACACGCTCTGAATGTGTGTCCTGAGGGAGCCACAGAGTTTGATTCTGCAGATGCAGACCACAGTGACCCCTTTCCCTTACTGCCCACCACCCTTCCCCATGCCCTAGCCCACCCTGTCTTTATCCCACCCATGCCCCCAGGCCCCATCCTTGGGGAGGTGGATTTGAAGGCTGCTCTTCCTATTACTAGAGTATTAGATCAGAGGTTTGACTCTGGGGTCCCAACAAATCAGCTCCACTCAGTCACCCCAAAGTGGGAAAAGAACTTTAATCAGTGTGGCAATATTGGGAAGACCAGCGTATACAGCCTGCCCATGTTCATATGTTTCAGATCAAATAGACAGGGGCCAGAAGAATACGGCTGGGGGTCTTGGCCAAACTGGGGTCTGGCTGGTCAGGTAAGCCCAGGCAAGAAAGTCGTGCTGCTGGGGTAGATGTGCTCCTCCCAAGATGCTGCTGCCCCAGGCCTGTGTTCCTGGAGGCCACGGTGGCTGACTTGTACCAAGGAGACAGATGCAAACGGAGGCAGAGACGCCCCATTTCCTGCTCTGAGGCCTGAGTGAGCAGCCTCTTGGTCCTCGTCACATGCTGTCTGCAGGTGCTAGCTATTGGACATGCTTTCCCTTTCCCAAAACCTGTCCCTTCCGTAGTAGGCGCACCCTGCATGGCAGGCAGAACCAGCGTGGCTTGGTAACATCTTCCAACAAAAAAAAATCACAAAAGCCCTACAAAGAAATACGGAGGTAGGACCAGACCCTGGGGAGAGTGAGTGGTGAACTGCTGCAGGAACAGCTGGTGCTGGCTTTAGCAGAAAAAGACTGCAAAACAGCCATGACAGACCCTCCACAGAACTGAAGAAAGCTAGCTAGCTTGTAAAAAGCAAAGGAAAGCCAGATAGTGTCATGTGCAAAGCAGATCGATAAAAGGACAGCGACTGTAACGTGACCGAGTGGGAATTCTGGAGCTGGAAAGCGCAGTAACTGGAATCTGGAACTGGATGCAGACTCCAGGTGTCCCTCCAGCACATGAGCGTGTAGAAGCCACCCACCTCCACTGCTACCAGAAAAAGTTGAAGAAACCAAATCCAACGACTCCCGGATCTGTCAGAAAACTAAAGCTGCATTGCAACTGCCACGTCCCATTCTGGGGAGACAGCGCTGAGCGGTCGCTGCACTTAAGGAGAAGCCACTGCGGGAGCCAGGAGCCCGAGAGCTCTCAGCATCCGGGGCAGCAGCTGTCCTGCACCAACAGCTGCCCTCTGAGCAGCCTTGTGCTCCGCTCCATGCTGCCCTCCTTCCCACTGAGGAGGAAAGGAGAAACTGAGAAGCACTAGCAAGGCCGCAGCCTGGAGCTGGCTCAGGGTGAGGAACTGATGGGGCTCCATTCTTAAAAATAAACAACAGCAGCTTCTCCCTCAAGGCCTGTCCAAGGAAGGGGGCGTGACCTTGTCCTGGGAAAGACCCACAGAGCACTCCTAGGCACATACCCCCCTGCTGAGTTGTTTGACTGTAAATAACAGGAGAGGTCTGCGGCCAGGTGTCCCTGACTCAGTCAGCCTAGGTGGGGACCCATAGCAACCCCCTAGCAACCTCCAATCAGCATGAGACAGGGAAATACCCAGGATGCCAGATGACCCCCCAGTAGTTTATGGTGGTTGATAACGTGTTGGGAAACCATGTAGTTCAGCACGTACGCCCCTCGTGGCCTAAACCAGTCAGTTCAAAGGAATCCCGCTCTCATCCCTACCCAACTTGTTCCCGCCAGTGAATGTGCTAATCAATGTTAAGAGTTGTTGTTTGACTTTCCCGCGGTATGGAATGATTTGCTGTGTGATGTTGTGATGCATAGAGTATCCCCCCAAAACCTATAAAATCTCACTGAACAAAGGACCAGGATTCACTCCCTGGCACTGCTGCATCGGGAATAGTTGTGAGTCCAGGCTCGAGCTTGCAGTAAAGACTCTTGTGTGATTGCATCGGATTCGGCTCCTGGAGGTCTACTGGGGTCCCACGAATCTGGCATCACAGGTGCTGGGATGCAGCCCTCACAGTTCTTCTCAGCCTCCTCTCAGAAGGAATCTAAGAGAACTTAATACTAGTGGGAGACAAAAACAAGGGCACTCAGGAAACTAGCCTCTGACGCCTACGGCTACAACAGGCAACAGCCTAGCCACTGGCCAGATACACCCCACTCCAAGGGACTGTCAGCCTGTCCCTTCTCTCCAATGTGGCATGTCTTCCCTCCAAGACAAACCCACCAGGAATGCAGAAAGACAAGAGAACAAAGTCCACCAGAGACAGCAAGCAGCAGACCGGAGGCGGCAGATACTGGACTACCGGAACACAAAACAACTCTGAATCTATGAATCGTACGCTCAGCTTTTCTTTCTTTCTTTTTTAAATTTGTTCTAATTAGTTATACATGACAGTAGAATTCATTTTGACACATTATACATAAATGGAGTGTAACTTCTCATTCATCTGGTTGTACATGATGTAGAGTTACTCAGCATGTAGTCATATATGCATATAGGGTAAGAATGTTCGATTCATTCTACTGTCATTCCTACCCCCATGATCCCTGTTGTAGGGACAGACGAGGCCAGGCACCGAAGACAGCAGGAAACATTTTATTTGGCTGCAGCCAGGCTCAGAGGGCACAGCTTTTGCTCTAATCAATCAATCCCCTGAACCCCGAGTTCAGGGAGTTTCAGAGTTTTATACCCAGCATGTAAGGGGAGGGGCTCAGAAGTTCAGAGTCTGCAGAAGTTCACATAAAAGCAGCTTTTTCTTTCACTGTTCTGAGCATGTTAACCCTTCAAGGACCACACCTGAGAAGGGGAGAGCTTCTTCTCCCCTTCTTTTCTCCCCCTACCAGCTGTTACCATGGAGCCCAATTGTAACTTATCTTAAAAATGTAGGCATCTCTGTGAAGCCCCAGCTCAAAGCCAGAGGCCTTGTTTGCACATTTCTACAAACTACTATACTGGATATGTTTGTGAAAACTAGTAAGGGGGTGTCCAGCACCTGGAGTGCTGGTATCTTCCCAGCCAGTGGCCAAGTAAACAGGGCAACATGAAAATAGAAAGTTTATCTACATTGAACTCTTTTGCAGAGACTCTTTTGCTGACCTAAAATCAGTCTGGGTGAAGATTTCTGGAGAGGCCGACTTATGATTTTTCAGTGAAGAAAGGGGGTGCCACTTCACCTCCCCTCCCTTCACTCCTCTCTGTTTAGTTCAAAATACCTCTATTCCTTCCCCACCACCACCTTATTGTGAATTAGCATTCACATATCAGAGAAAACATTCAGCCTTTGATTCTTTGGGATTGGCTTATTTTGCTTAGTATAATATTCTCCAGTTCCATTCATTTTCATGCAAATGCCATAATTTCATTCTTTTTTAAGGCTGAGTAATATTCCATTGTATATATGTACCACAGTTTCTTTAGCCATTCATCTACTGAAGGGCACCTTAGTTGTTTCCATAGTCTAGCTATTGTGAATTGAGCTGCTATAAACATTGATGTAGCTGCATCACTGTAGTATGCTGATTTTAAGTTCTTTTGTTATAGACCTAGGAGTGGAATAACTGGATCAAATGGTGGTTCCATTCCAAGTTTTCTTAGGAGTCTCCATGCTGCTTTCCATAGTGGTCGCACCAATTTTCAGTCCCACCAGCAATGTGTGAGTGCACCTTTCCCCCACATCCTTGTCAACACTTGTTGTTACTTGTATTCTTGATGATTGCCATTCTGACTAGAGTGAGACGAAATCTCAGTGTAGCTTTGATTCGCATTCTCGAATTGGCTCAGCATTTCTTTATGAAAATAACAGCACTTGTGTTCCGACAAAAGAGGACTTAAAGTCTGCTGAGAGCCATAGCCAAGTAGGAATGACGCATGGCATTTTTGGTTGAAGGTGACCCCAACAAGCCCTTGAGACGATAATGATTATGTTAAGATCTGCATTCAACTGGAGATTAGACCCTGCTGTCTGCCTGGGCCTGCTACTTTGGAGCTCTGGTGGGACTCCCGGAGAGTTCCCATTGGTTGGGGAAGTGCGGTAGGAGGGAATTCCGGAGGAGGGATTTCCTGTTCGAAGTTCATCAGTGAGCTGGGGCCCACCTTCTGCACTCTTGGCCAACCAGGTGTTCAACTCCTCCTTCATGCAGGGAGGTAGAGTTTTTGAGTTTGGAGTTTCAGCTCCCTGCTTTCCTATGACGCTATGATCCTGGCAACTGAATCACGGGTCTTTTCCCTTGGTCACCTGAGATGGCCAAAGAGCAGCTTTTGTTTTCTGTCCTCTGGAGCTGCGACACACATCCATGATAACCCACTTTTGACCTTAGCTGGTCCTCTCCAGAACTGTCACGGTGGCCATTCTATTTAGGGGGGCTTCGTCTACAAGTCAGTTCCATGTTAATATGGGCACTAGGGTCATCAGCTGGGCAGAAGTTACCTTAGTGCTCCTGCACTACTAAAGAACTCTTCCTTCCCAGACAGATGGAGACACTTACAGCCATAATTCCAAGCTTCACACCAGCCTCAGTAGACCCTGTCGAGAGCTGGTCCCCTTAGATCCTTTTCTCTTGACATGTCTTCCCATTAGCGCCTTCAATTCTGTTTATTTTCTACAAATTAACCACCACCCTTTGCTTTATCATCTGCTTTGGAAGTAGTTTAAAGCAGACCCTACAGTAACTTAAAGTGTAAGGGTCCCGCAAAACATCGGAGAAAGAGACCACCAAGTGACCACTCATGCAATTCGCAGAAGGGGATTTATTGAACCAGCATGCTGGGGCTCCGTGCCCACTCAAGAAGGGAGAGCAGCCCAGAGCCCCGAGCACGGGCTGAGCACTGCTTAAGTACACTTTTTGGGGAGGGCAGAGGGCTTTGTATACATCAGAACAAATCATCATGAGGCGCGGGAAAATTGAACAACAACTCCTAAACCTGATTGGTTCATTCATTGGCGGGAACAGGTCAGGCTGGAGTGATAGGTCATTCCTAAGGAGGGGGTTACATTTAAACTGATTGGTCCAGGCCCTGCAATGCCTACGTGCGACCACACAGAGCCCTTATTAAACAACCAATAGTCAGGGGAAATATTTACTGGGCAGTTCCAAGCGTTGTCTTAACAGCTACAGAAATTTCAGGTTTTGCAGGTAGCATAGAAACCTAACAATACCTAATCCTTTACATTTTAACTCAGACCTTGCAGCTTAGAAACTTTACAACACCCAGTCTTTTACCCTTTAACTTTTACGCTTTAACTTCAATTTCTTTTACCCTTACATTCCCCACTCCTTTTTCTGACTACTTTTAATCTTAAAAGTAATGCATCACAATTATTGAAGGGTTTCACATTTCATGAGTTGTTTTGCGTTCCCTGGAATCATTTTCAGCACGGCCTCCATTTTAGATTTCACTCGGTATTAGACCCCAATTTATCTAACTACACTGACTACCTAACTTAAAATCTGGCTTCATTTCCCCCTCTAATTTGGGAACTCCTTACTGCTGTAAGGAAGTGGGGGCGAAGAGAATCTTTCTGGCTTCTTCAGGCTGAAAAGGGACGGTATGGGGCAAGCAGTTTGGAGTCCCCCTTTAAAAATATTGGGTCTATCGAGTGGTCCATGATAAAAGTCCAATTGAGAAGTATTAGGCTGGAGGGCCATTCGAGTGATAGGTGGTCTATAAGAGAAACAAGAATTCATTAATTTACTGGAACCATATTGATGCAGCAATAAATGTCACAGCACAGGAATATGCCAATGAGTATGATGGCCAAGACAGAGACTAACAATGTTTTCCACCAGGAAGTACCAAGAACCAGAAGCTAAGATATTGTTTCCACGACAAAGTTGCTGAGGACATGGCTTCTATCTAAGCATGTAAATCTTTAAGGATATTTGTCACCTTGCCAGAAATGTCAGGGATGTAAACACAACAACTAACATTTAGGTTTACAGATGTCCTTTTTACTAGTATGACCTATGTCTAATAGAGAAACCTTTAATTTTGCTACTTAGGGCTGGATAACCATACTAGCAAACACCAAGCCTACCTGTGTAGGTTAGGAATATCTGTGGGCCTTAAACTAAAAACTACTCTGGCAGTTCCTTTTAATAGTTATCAGGCATTCCTATCTGAGAATCTCTTTTGTAGCCTATAGTTTACTTATTTTTGGAAGTTACATTTAACTATTATTATCATTTAAAATGTCCAGGAACAGCTGTGCTTTGGCTTTAACTATCTTTGCTAAGTGTTTAAGATGAAGCAAGTCAAACTGACTTTTGTTCTTATCTATTGTCAACAGTCAGCTGAGTTTCCCTGGGAGTCCTCGGGGAACTTCATAGCAGCTTCTCAGTTCTGCTAGTGCCATTTACCTTAGGATGGGTCCAGGCCTTGCTTGACCATGTGGCTTCCCTCGGAAGCATCAGGGATGTCTCCCCTTTTTAATGACCCTCCTCTTTACAGCAAATGCACCGATTGGCTTTCTGTCCTCCACTGGTCTCATTAATCTCCCTGCTCAGGAGGTTATGTGGCCTAGAGTTGCTGAGCCCTTTGGAGAAGTCCCCTATTCCCTGATTCAGACTGACTCAGAGGGCAAGAGCCGAATATTGGTTTTCTTGGCCCTTTTAATTTAACTAATTTTAAAAACTTGATCTTAAACATCCAGCAAATAAGTTAACAGCCTTATATTAAGAGCACTGGGCTTTAATGTCTATCTCTCTATCCTGTAGGTGATAACTCCTTATCTTATGTTGACCCAGGTTGTGTTCTTAAAGCAATACCTCTTTAAAACATTAACAGGCAATCCTTAAACCATCTATAAGCAAACTACAAAACAAAACTAACTAGGGTAAAAACATATTTAGCTTACATAATGGCTACCTTGAATTCTGGCAGGGTTATACATCATAATTCCCTATTTGAGATCCTAGTAATCTTGGCAAAAACCTACTTTTGGACACAACTTTAACTGTACTGAAATCTGGCTTACTTCTTTCATAGCCACTTTCACATGTAGTGAGATGGGACAGAGCCTTATCTCAAGTAAGGCAGGGCTCTTTATAAATCTCAAGTACTATAGTTCTGAAGCTGATCATTTTACAAAGTTTACATAAATTGTTGTTCAAGTTTACATGAATATTAGCTAACACAACATAATATCACACCTAAAACATGAATTAAAGGCTGAAAGCTTTTAACCTTTTGTAGAAAAGTAGCAAAGTACTTTTGTGTTTTACAATAAAACCTTTACACAGATTAGGCTCTCATTAACTTAAAAATACATTTAAATTGTATCTCAGTGTAAAAAGTAACATGGAACTATACATCTTATTGATAACAAGTCCAATCGTAGAACACAAATGATATAAACAAATCTCCAACATGTTTTTTTCTTTTAAGCCTAAAATTACTATACAACTTTAGAACACCAGCTTGATACAATGTTCTTTTGAAGCTTCTACCTTACAGACTTGTATACCTGGAAGATATGAACACATTAATAGCACCATAATTACATTGATGTTTTTATATTAACCGAGGTTAGCTTTTAAAGTAACAACATTACAATATTGAAAAATAACAGCTGTTGTTTAACCATAGTTGTATAATCTTTAATTTTCTTTAAGATTACTTGCTCAAACTTACACATATAACCAACTTACACAGACCTTCTTTATCACTTACTTAAATCTTCTTAATTACTTAATCACATAGACTCTCTTATCCAGAAACACATTTTCCCTCTATTAAATCTATACCTAAAACTTTCTAGTTTTTCTTTTCCATCTGTTAACCTCCTTCTGTTCACACTTTAAGACAATATCTGTAAATTTCTGAATTTAAGCAGATTATTTTATAGACATCAACATTTTATCTGTTTACCCAATTTAAATTGAACCATTTGAATCACGTGAATCAAAGATATTTGGATCCATTTTTAAATTTTTTTATGAGTGCTCCTCATCTGTCAATTGTCATATCACTGCAGGATATATGGACATACACACATACAGACATACTGACATACAACACATAACACAAGTGTAACACCCTTGTAGCTTTTTCAGGTGAAATCTCCATTGCAATGTTTAAAAACTCCACAGTTGATCAGAAAAACATTAACCTAGGTCTGTAGGACCAAAATCATGAGCTCAAAAAAAATACAGAATCTAAGAAAAAGCAAGAGTCCTAAAAAAAAAGATGACTGGCCAGTAATTAATAAATACCATATAATTTACTTTTTGGTTGGGGTCTAGTTTGAGTTCAGGTAAAAAGACACTTTAACTCTTTTTTTTTTCCCTTGGGCCTGAAATCTGTCTCCTGCTGAGTGCCCCCAAGCTTCTTCTATTTGCATATCAGCTTAAGTCCTGGCTGAGGTCTGGAAGGAACTGAGAAAACTGGAATTCTGAGCAGAAACCTCATGCCTAAGGCATTTTAACTATAAATCATAATTTTCAGGTTTAAGATGCAATTCTCAAAATTTTATATCTTTGTATCTCTTTACATTAGAAACACTTGCCCACACAAAACTGAAAATAGGATCTTTTTCTGATAACATAAAGGCCACCATCAGAGGAAATTTCCTCAGGATCATTAAGCTGCTTCCTTTGTTCTGAAGTTCTTAAAGTAGTATTAAGTTTTATCATGTATATCCAAAATTAAGCCTTAAAAATTTCCAAGACTGTTGCTAATTAATGTCATTTCAATAAGCCAGACCAACGTTTTAATTTAGCACCCTTTTTTTTTTCCTGAATCTTACACACTGAGGGAACAGATATCATATCATAATTTATTATCTTCGCCCAAGTTAATGCACTGGAATACCTAGTGAAATTTTCTCAGGCTACCCAGTTCAAAATTGAAACTTTCTAATTTTTTTTACCCTAAGTATTTAAGTTTTTTAGCATGAACTATCTGAAATCAAACTAAACAATTGCTTAAACCCAACTTTTAACTGCAAGATAGTGCAATGCTTTAGAAACCCATTCAGATACCAGATTGTTACAATAAAAAAATTTATCTTTTAGATACACATTTAGCCAAGATCATCCCCAAGAAACAATCTATAACATCAACACATTACTGCATTTATTGTCTCATTAGTTAAGCAAACAGAGGTGGGGTAATCCCTAAAGTGCAGGTAAGGAAGGAGGAGACTCCCCAAAGCAAAATGGCTTTGGCAGCTGCTGGGAGCCCCTTAGTTCCACCTTTTACTTATAGGATTAGTTCCTCTGGCTTGGTCTGACCCCAGGCACTAGGCATTTCTCACATCTCCTAACTTTTCAGTAGTCAGCTTCCCAAAAAGTTCATCTTCTGCTTGCAGTTGTTTCGAGTTTGAGAAAAGTTTAAGCGAGATATCAAAGTTTTTAGACCCCAGGCATTTCCCTCTGCAGTGGGCGTGCTCAAGCCAACTACGGGAAGAAAAGAAAACACTGCTTCCCTAATCTCGCTCAACAAAGGGGGGTAAAGTTTATCAAAGTTCTTTAAAACACAGCTAAGAGAGGTGTAAAAGGTGAGAACAGAAAAGCTGGCAGTTCTATTGACTTTTGGTCCCTCACAGGAGAAGCATTAGGTTAAAATTTAGCTAAAGTTACTTCCACACATCTAAGGCAGTTTGGAATTTGGGACTCTGCATCGGTCCAAAGTAAAACAATGCCATCACACTTAACAGAGACACAGACAAAAAGACACACAAAGATCATCATGCAGCTCCCGTTCGTTCACAACCCCAAGATCTACAATCTTGTGACTCAAGGAGAATGGAGGGAAAAGGGGGAGGAACAGAAGGATTGAGTGATAGGATCTTGGGGGAAGGGGTCGGAGTGGAGGCAGGGACCAAGAAAGGCTTCAGGGACAGAGGCATGGAATGGCTTTGTCCCATACTGGGAGTTACTCAGGCAGAGACAGGGACAATACAAACGTGACACAGAGACAAGGACAAACAGTAAATGGTTAACACAAGTTTAGAGGCAAAGATTAAAGACAGACTGTGAATCCAATCTGAGAGAAAGAATTGCCGGCGAAACCAAACGGGTTGGCAGCACAGTACAAACGAGGGCACTCTTGTCCCTCTACCAACTGGGGGCACTTTCGCCCCCCCCCCGAATCCTCTAAGGCGTCCCTTAAGAGGAGTGGCCTGTGGATTAGGACACGTCTGTCACCACTGCCAGGGAGAATTTACACTCTCCACTGACGGCCACGCTGCCAACCCAACCAAACCAATCCAAGCCAAAGACCAAACCTGAACCAAAAAGCTCTGAGAACTTACGCTCTCCACCGAGCCAAAAACCAAAAAGCTCTAAGCGATCGCAAAGGAAAAACAAGAAGGAGAAGAAGAAGAGGAAGAAGAAGAGGAAGAGGCACCTTACTTACCCCCTAAAGGAGTCCGTTGGGGGTTTCCTTGTCCAGCAATGCGCTTTTCCCGGCCAACGCACCAAATGTAAGGGTCCAGCGAAACGTCGGAGAAAGAGACCACCAAGTGACCACTCATGCAATTCGCAGAAGGGGATTTATTGAACCAGCATGCTGGGGCTCCGTGCCCACTCAAGAAGGGAAAGCAGCCCAGAGCCCCGAGCAGGGGCTGAGCACTGCTTAAGTACACTTTTTGGGGAGGGCGGAGGGCTTTGTATACATCAGAACAAATCATCATGAGGCGCGGGAAAATTGAACAACAACTCCTAAACCTGATTGGTTCATTCATTGGCGGGAACAGGTCAGGCTGGAGTGATAGGTCATTCCTAAGGAGGGGGTTACATTTAAACTGATTGGTCCAGGCCCTGCAATGCCTACGTGCGACCACACAGAGCCCTTATTAAACAATCCAATAGTCAGGGGAAATATTTACTGGGCAGTTCCAAGCGTTGTCTTAACAGCTACAGAAATTTCAGGTTTTGCAGGTAGCATAGAAACCTAACAATACCTAATCCTTTACATTTTAACTCAGACCTTGCAGCTTAGAAACTTTACAACACCCAGTCTTTTACCCTTTAACTTTTACGCTTTAACTTCAATTTCTTTTACCCTTACAAAAGAACACTTGTGACTTTGCCAAGCATTTCACTGCTCCTTGCTAGCTACTACCTAACAATAGATTAGAGAAGGAGGCCACTGCTGACCCCCCAGAGATGAGAGGATTGTAGAGGAACACTGGGATTCTCAGTGGTCAACACTTGTCCAGCAGGTGCGAGGCCATGGGCTCCATCCCCAGTGCCACAGAAGGAAAAAGAACATTGCCAACAATCGTTCACTGACAAATAGAAAATGTAGACAAAATGGACCAATTCCAAGAAAGGCACAAAGTGAAACTGACTCAAGGAGAGGCACAATCTGAACAGACTACACAGAAGGGAGAGATCACACTAGTAATGGAAAACCCGGGCCAGGGGGCCTCACCAAGTCCCACGGGCTGTTTGAAAGCAGTATGAACTCACCACAGACCTTCCCAAGGAGCAGAGGCGGGGGCACCTACCAGCCCACATTCTGAGGCCATGATCCCATTGCGCCTGCACCAGGTAAAACACCTCATGGAAAGAAGACTGCTGATGAAGTCCAGTGCAGAAATCACATCAAAACAGACCCCACAGAAGCCACCGACAGAGAAAACCACACACCGTGATCCAGGATTTATCCCAGGCGTACAAGTTTGGTTCAACATCCAAATTAGTATAATAAATTATATCAACAGAATAAAGAGGAAAAGTCACAAGACTATCTTGCTAGACACACAAAAATAATTTGATGAAATCCCCTAGCTTTTCATGATAAAAATGTTCAACCCACTAGGAACAGCAGGGGACTTCTAGGTGGTCAAGGGAACCTATAAAAACCCACAGCAGATCTCGAGCTAAACGGGGAGAAGATGCTCCTTGCTCCCCAAGAAACAGACCCCATGGCTGCCATTCAGCACCAGCCTGTGAGGCCTCGCCAGAGCACTGAGGGAAGAAAGACACCTGGACTACATACAAAGAAGGAGACTGTCTCCTTGTGTAGGTGACATGGTCACTTGCATGGAGAATCACGAGGAATCCACTCAAAATAATATTGCATCGCATCCCTTTCCCTGCAGGAGAGAGCGTGGGCCACAGAGTCTGCGGGTCAGGAGCAGCCAGCTGACTGGCAACCAACCCCCGAAAAGCAGACCTGTGGTGGAGGTGCAGGAGATGGAATGTAAAGAGAATCTCCTTTCTCCCGAGGGGGAATGGCTCCGCTTTGCTATGACTCAGATGTGGAGAATCATGACCACCCATGACCAGTCCTTGGGGCCTGCAGGAGTGGTGGAGAAGCACAGCCTTGGTATCCAACTTGCTGCCCCGTCCCCACCCAGCCCCAGAAGAGGACTGAGGAATCTGAGATGAAGCACGTGGATATCACCAAAGGGCACCATGCAAAATACCTGTGAGGAGCTGCCTTCCAAGGCAAGCACAAAGTGACAGAGCCGGGCAGACCTCAGCCATCCAGCATGGCCTTTGTTCAGCAGCCAGTCAGGCCTCAGAGGGGCACTCTTTCTGGTTAGAAAATGGCCCCTGGTGACAGGAAGGGTGTGGGTTTCTGTAGTTTACATTGGGAGATGACTTCGTAGTGAAGCCTTTAACAGGATGTGGGCAACAAGCTGCAGATATCTGGAGCTTGTTTTCGGTGGGCACAGTTTTATTAAGCAGGGTTTTCACAGTGCAGGGATGGAGGATTCAGAGTTCAGGGTCCAGTGGTCATCTTGTCCTCCAGGGGTCAGAGTACTGTCTTGGGGAACAAGATCGATGTGTAGTTTCATGTCACTGGGAGAGAATTTATTTGGGAAGGGATCCGTCTTCCCAGGGGCTGCTATTTTGGGATTGATGATTGTCTCATTTCCAGGGTTTGTTTTGTCACTGGAAATGATTTATTCAAAGGATCGAAATTTTGGCGTCTCTCTCCTTCCCTCCTCCCAGGTCACACACCATCTTTGGTTGATGGGGGGCGGGGGGGGGGGCGGTATTCTTTCCACATTCTTCACCAAGAAGCTATTGTCTGCAAAAATAACCCTGGCTGGCTCACGGGGGTGGGTGAACCGTGGCCTGGGGCCCTCTGCTCAAGGGATCAGGGAAGCAAGACCTTCCTGATCCTGGGCCTGGAAGGGTACTTCATCAGGTGGGTACACCAGATGGGGGTGGAGATCTGCAGGGTGACACTCAGGGTAAAGGCAAATCTGATGATTTTTAATTCATTAGAAGCCAGAGTCGATCTTTTCTGTTTCAGTCTTTTTTTTCCCCCTGCAGTGCTGGTGATAGAACCCAGGGTCTCAATATACCAGACAGGCACTGACCGTGGAGAGACCCCAGCCTTAGCCTGTCCCTGTACATGCAGTTATTGCCACTGTGACAGTGGTTCACCTTTTGAATATAGCCCTCCTTGCTCCAAGGCTTACTTTTAAAAAGACATGTTTTTTCTCTTCTCCCCTCTCCCCTCCCTAACAAGATTAGGGAGACAGTGTTATCTTTTCTTCCCTGTAATTAATTATCCTTGAACACACCCACCACAGGAAGGAGATGTCTGCCAGAGGATCTAAGTGAATATTTCCCAAATTAACAAGTGAACCCTAACACATTATCAGGATGCCCTGGGACCCCCTACCAGGGCACACCTGGAATGCAACCCTTGAAGAGCATCTTTAAAAGCCCCCTATTTTCTCTTCACGGGGAGAAATCACTGCCTCTGGAACAGGAGTCCCCTCTACTTTTCCTTTGCTAGCAAAGACATAAACCTTCTTTTTCCTTTTTCTCAAAACATGTCCTCATTATTAAATTGGCGTGAAGTGGCATTAGGGACAAGTGATGAACCCAACCTCATTCTATCCTAAGATTGGGAGCCATCTCATCAAAAAGTCACGAAAAGTTCATTTCTGTTTTACTAAGATATTTATTTGGCCTGACCATATTCTGAGAGCTAATCTTGTTTGGAATCCTTGTCTGTGATCTAAACTCACCCAGGCCTGGCTCTCCTTGACCAGATAACAACCCTCCCTAAAACCCGAGCAGCACCTCATAAATACTGATGTTGGAATCTCAATTTATTTTCTACTCTGAAATGTTAAGCCATGTAGATCATTAACTTGCTATCTGCCTTTGTATGATGCTTGTCAGAATCCTGTTAGCTCTAAGTTCCCAAGACACTCCCCCTTTGTAACTTTTTGTGCTATAAAACCTTTTTTCCTGGAGAGCTGGGGTGCTGTTCTTTAGCCCAGCTTTGGGTAAGACAGCTGCTGACCACCTCTGTCTGTGTACACAATGTAAGCTTGCTTTAATTTGATTTAAAATTGGAGTCAGTGGTCATTTCTTTGCATCGTGGCTCAACAACAGAGCTTTTCGTAACACCACCTTTGTGAATGTGACAGGGAACTTTCTAGAAGTTTTATTTTATTTTCTGCCAGCAGCCTAGGGACCAGTTTGACACTCACTGACCCTCACTAACCCCTGTTCTCATGTTCTGATGTAAATGAGCAACATCTGCTCCTGCCTCGCTTCCAACTGAGGAACTGAGGTGCTGCTGCTGTGGGTGAGGCAGAGCGCCCAGGGACTCTGCACACAGCTGCACGAGGGAGTAAGCATATAACTAACCTGGGTTTTAGGAGAGAGCGTGTGGAATGTGTCCCACATGCTAAATATTTTTGAGGGTCCTGGAGAGTTCACAGTCTAAGTGCCTGGAGATTGGTCCTCGGTGTCGGTGTGTACTCCTGGCCTGGCCTGCACAGGATGCTACCCTGAGAGCTCCCTACCACATGTAGAATGTGAGGAGGGACTAGCCTGTCTCGTTTATTTGATATGAGCATGACTTCCCAGAACTTGAGGTTAAACACTATTATATTCTTGTTCTTCACTCAACTATTACCTTTAATTAAAATTAAGAACTCATGACTCTAATAATTAATTCATATAAACTATGAATTACCTAAGTCATATAAAAATGAAAAAGTCATCATCCCTCACAAAGTCCAGCACTGTGGTTTTCATGTGCACTTGGCCTCACAGGGGTTGAAACCAGGGGAGCCTTCTCCACACGCTCTATCCTCAGGTAGGGCCTGCCTGCGGGACCAGCTAGGGGCAGGCAGAAGGCTGTGCAGGAAGTGGCCCCCCTCTGCAGCCAGTCCTAGTCGTAACTTGAAACCCAGGGTTGTGTTCTCCCCCTTCTGCATGGAAAGTCACCAAATCAAAAACACCAGGAAATAGAAAGTTCTGAGAAAAAGAAACTGTTGGGCACGGGTGGCCCTCACCACTTCCAGTGCCACCATCATCTCTTCTTCCCACCACCAGCCTCACTGTCCAAGCCTTCTTCCCAGGATTTCTGTTGCACAAAGCCAGGAGATGCACAAGGAGGAGTATGAAGTATCTGTGATGGGAGGTGGCCATACCTCTGCCCCCCAGACGACCACCGTGATCAACATGCCCAGAGACATCTCTGTGCCCGACCATGTGGTCTGGTCCCTGTTCAACACGCTCTTCATGAACTTCTGCTGCCTGGGCTTCATAGCCTTCGCCTACTCCGTGAAGGTGTGTGTGCTGTGGGGGGGGCTGGGCAGTGGGAGGGGCGGGGGGGAAAGTGCATGGGAGGCTGATACTCCACCTGCACCTGGGGAGTGTGGGTCTGTGTGTGCTGGGGGAGCTGCTGTGGATCACCCCCTATGGCTGGTGTCCATTGACCCTGTGTGCCCTCCTCTTTCTGGGTAAGTGTGGGGGCATTAGGGGATCTCCCAGGGCAGGCACAGGAGAGAGCAGCCTGGGAATCTGGGGTCACTCTTGTCCCCATCCCCAACCCAGAGGACTTCTCCCTATGCCCAATGGCAGAAATACCCGCTGCACACTGCAGAGTGTGGCACCCCAGGCTGTCTCCCAAACTGGGGTGAGCAGCCAGCACTGGGGCCTGCTGCACAGTCTGAGTGTGTGAAAGGCAAGGGCAGAGAGGACCCTGGGGGCCTGGGCCTAGCACCTGCCTCTCCCCTGACCCTCTGCATCTGCTCTCCCCAGTCTAGGGACAGGAAGATGGTGGGTGACATAACTGGGGCCCAGGCCTTCGCCTCCACTGCCAAGTGCCTGAACATCTGGGCCCTGATCTTCAACATCATCCTGACCATCGGCGCCATCGTGATTCTCATCATCTTCTCGGCAGCGATTGTCCAGGCTATTTCACAGATGAAAAACCATCCTGGGGGCTTCTAGTCTTGCCATGTCCTGACCCCCTAGCTGGCCCTGCACCCTGGGCTGAGGCCCTGCCCCTGCACCCTGGGCTGAGGCTCTGCCCCTGCACCCCTCGCTTTCTGAAATATTTACACGCACCTATCTGTCCACAGTGGAATTCAATAAAGTGCACTGTACACGGGTGTGCTGTGATCTCGCCTGGGGAGGGGTCTGCTGGCAGTCCCAGCCTGGTGCAGGATCTGAACCCCTCTCCCTCTGCTGTCGCATGCATGTCCCAGGTTCTGCAAGTTCCTGACTTCTTGCTGTGGGTGCTCAGTGCCAGGTGGCATCTGGCTTTCCCCGTATTTGGTGGCTGCAGGCAGAAGGAGACTGAACTTCCTGTGGCCCCAGGCCTCCAGGAAGTCCCTAGGAACAGAAATCAGGGAGCCCACACAGCCCAGAGGTGGGACAGTAGCTCAGGGTCTCTGGCCTTCAGGAGAAAACAAAACTCTGCCCAGTCACACCTGAGACCTGGGTTTGAGTTTAGTTTTGTGTCTGGCCTTGAGTGGTGGTGACCTTAGGGGCACCCCTGGGCTGACCTTGCCCTGGAGACTGCTGAGGTGGGAGCTGGATGGCCTGCCTCCCCTAAGAGCACTGGCTGATCGGCCCCCCAAAGAGGCCCAGAGCTCTTGGCTGCCTACTGCTCTTTCCCCTGCACAGCCCAGACAGGCTGGGCCTGAGCCCTCCAGTCCCTCAGCAGCACTCCTACTCCAGGGGACCCAGGGACGCAGACCAAGGGGACTCTGGTGCACAGGAACACGAGATGGCTCTGACTAGGAAGGGGCCCTCGGCTCTTCTGCAGGCTCCAGGGCTTGGTATGTGGTCGGGGTGGCAGCACCTCTGTCCATGTGTGAGGCCCCCGTCTTTTCCTCCCACCTGGACTCTGGCCAGAAGAGCTGCCTGGGTTGGGACTTCCGCCGATAAGACTGCTCGAAGACCCCTTCTAGCGGTGACTCAGCTTACCACCACGCGCGGTCCACCTGTGCCTCCCTGTGAGGTCAGACGGTGCCCCATTTGATTTTCAGGATTGGGGCTGAGACATACGCCAGCGTGGGCAAATCTTGTGTGTACCGCTCCCAGCGAGGATGCCCCCATGGCCCTCACCCCAGGGTGACCAGCAATTCTGCACCCACCCGCCTGCGAGTCCTAGGGCCGTTTCCCCACTCCATAGCCCCTCCGCAAGGCAAAGAGGCCTAGACCTCATCAGTCCTGCCCATGCCCAGGCACCCCCAGAACACGCCATGCCCAGTGGACCCTGCTGACCTTCTTTGGGCCGGCCTATCAGCCACTGCTCCTGGCGGGAGCACATTCCGTTCTCCGCATGAACAGCCCCGGACAAGTTCCCTTCCAGGGAAAGTCTTCTTAGCTGGCTACTCACTCTGCCCCGCGGAGGAGGACACTTCCAAGTTCACTTTGGGCCTTGCAGTGCCGGCTGCCTACAGGGACCTGAGGAGTGCGCACCCACGAGCGGCCAGACCACCCTCAGTCCAAGACCAGCTGGGTCTTCCCCTCTGCCCTCCTATGGGGACCCCACCCCAAATCTGGGCTGGGAAACGTTCTGGGTCTTGCCAGTCCATCTTTATTCATCCCTGCGGGTTGTGCCCGTGGCCGGCAGGGGGCGCCGCTGAGCTTCAGCCTGAAGAAGGTGCTCTCTGCTCAGGAGCTTCCATCCACCCAGGTGACCCTCTCAGGCTCCTCTGGCTCCAACACCTGGCACCCAGGGACAGCGAGAGCACTCTGTCTGCGGACCAGGCACAAGTACAGCGATTCGCTTGAGAGACTCCAGATCTGGGGCACTGGTGGGCACAGGCCGGGGGGCCTAGGAACTTGGCAGGTGGATCTGCAGGTGACCCTCAGGACAGAGCAGACAGGCTTCAGCTTGAAGGGTCACTGCTCCAAGGTTCTGAGCAGAAGGAACTGTCCTCCCAGGCCCTGGCAGGACCCTGTGGAGCCACGTGGGAGGAAGGCCCAGCTCCATAGTGTGTGGGCAACTCTAGAACTAGAGCTAGAACTCACACCCAGGGCCCTGGGTCCCCATCTTGCAGAGACATATTCCTGAGCCAGCACAGCAGGGGTTCAGGCAATTGGACTGGAGCTCTCAGAGTCTGCCCCAACATCCCTGGGAGGTCACCAGGTTTGACACTTCCTTCTGCAGTGAGCCCACAACTGAGGTCTCTGCCCCTCTGCCAGCCACTGGCGGCTCCCCATGAAACAGGAGAATGGATAGTGCCCAGTGGACAGGAGGAAGCAGCAGCCAGGATGGAGCCAGACGTGGCTGGGTCAGGAGGCCCTGGCAGGGTCTCTCTCTGTCACCACTCTCTAGAGACACAGGAGCCCCCATCCATGCAACAAGGCCAGGGCTACACACATCCACCCCAGAACCCAAAGAGGTGATAGAGGGCAAGGGGACTCAGGACACAGTGCTCCCTTGGTCAGGGCTCAGAGGTTGTAGAGAGCCACACCCAGGATCCTGGTCAGCTGCTGCCCACAGCAGGAGGCCAGACAGCAGAGGGAGAGGGGTTCAGATCCTGCACCAGGCTGTGACTGCCAGCAGACCCCTCCCCAGGCGAGATCACAGCACACCCGAGTACACTGCACTTTATTGAATCCCACTGTGGACAGATGGGTGCGTGAAAATGCTTCAGAAAGCGTGGAGTGCAGGGGCAGGGCCTCAGCCCAGGGTGCAGGGGCAGGGCCTCAGCCCAGGGTGCAGGGCCAGCTAGGGGGTCAGGACATGGCAAGACTAGAAGCCCCCAGGATGGGTTTTCATCTGTGAAATAGCCTGGACAATCGCTGCCGAGAAGATGATGAGAATCACGATGGCGCCGATGGTCAGGATGATGTTGAAGATCAGGGCCCAGATGTTCAGGCACTTGGCAGTGGAGGCGAAGGCCTGGGCCCCAGTTATGTCACCCACCATCTTCCTGTCCCTAGACTGGGGAGAGCAGATGCAGAGGGTCAGGGGAGAGGCAGGTGCTAGGCCCAGGCCCCCGGGGTCCTCTCTGCCCTTGCCTTTCACACACTCAAACTGTGCAGCAGGCCCCAGTGCTGGCTGCTCACCCCAGCTTGGGAGACAGCCTGGGGTGCCACACTCTGCAGTGTGCAGCGGGTATTTCTGCCATTGGGCATAGGGAGAAGTCCTCTGGGTTGGGGATGGGGACAAGAGTGACCCCAGATTCCCAGGCTGCTCCCTCCTGTGCCTGCCCTGGGAGATCCCCTAATGCCCCCACACTTACCCAGAAAGAGGAGGGCACACAGGGTCAATGGACACCAGCCATAGGGGGTGATCCACAGCAGCTCCCCAGCACACACAGACCCACACACCCCAGGTGCAGGTGGAGTGTCAGCCTCCCATGCACTTTCCCCCCCGCCCCTCCCACTGCCCAGCCCCCCCACAGCACACACACCTTCACGGAGTAGGCGAAGGCTATGAAGCCCAGGCAGCAGAAGTTCATGAAGAGCGTGTTGAACAGGGACCAGACCACATGGTCGGGCACAGAGATGTCTCTGGGCATGTTGATCACGGTGGTTGTCATGGGAGCTGAGCCCTGGGGTGCCCCCAGCATGGCTACCTCATGTTCCTCCTGGAGCTTTTCATAGTGTGTGGGGCGCCCAGCATTGGGGTACATCGAGACGGTGTGGGGAGCCTGGTTCATGCTGCTCACAGGAGCCCAGCTGCAGAGTGGCTGGAGGGTTGCTGTCTGGCCCACCCTTTCCCGAGTACTTTCGGTTTCCCAGAAGTTTCGTTTCCTGGCTGTTGTGAGCTGGTGATTTGCAGAGTGTTGAGGGGTGGAACTAAATCCTGAGGATCAAATTTCTCCAGGGCAGAGTGGGAGGAAGAACCAGGTGGGCGGTGCTTTCTGTCCAGGAACCCAAATCAGTACCTCGCAGCTGATCCCTCCTGTTCGGGCTGTGGGGGTCCTGGGGTCTTTTCCCAGGCCTGGGAGACTCCGCAGTCTGGTCAACAGCAGCAGGAGCTCAGGTCCACATTGAGGGCTGGGCCAGTCCCATAGGGTCCCTCTACTCCCAGCTCCCTAAGGGCTTCCCGAGAGCCCACACTGCACTGTTGACACAGCAGTAAAGGTCAGTCAGCCAGCCAGTGTTGAATGCTGGGGGTGGAGAGGGTGGGGACTCATTATCCTAGAGCTAAAAGTTGGTACCTCCAGGCTCATTCTCCCTGGCACCACAAGGATTAATAAAGAGGGGCATTCTCAGTGGATGAGAATTTGCATGGTCAGTCTTATTCAAACTCAGGAAACACACCTGGAGGCTAATCGGTAGACATGTTAATGAGCACCTTCAAGGCCTATTTCAAATGTAAAAGACCCCATGGATCTCTTGTGGGAACAGCAGCATCCAGAGATGAAATAGGGGATGTAGGGGTGAACCCAGGTGGAAAGGAGCAGGGTAGCCTTGATACTTTGTTGCTGTTGTTGTTCTAATTAGTTATACACCATAGCAGACTGCACTTCAATTCATTGTACACAAATGGAACACTGACTTTTCATTTCTCTGGTTGTACAGTGTTGTCTGCAGGGCAGGCTGAACAGATGTTGGCTGCAAGATAGCCCACGCACTCAAACCCCCCTCTATCTGGTCCTCTATCACCTGTTTGCCTCAAGTCTGAACATTCAACCCTGCTTAAGGCTGAACACTCAACCCCCCTTGGGCCAACAAGGCAGCTTGCAGACCCAGAGGCCCCATTAGATTTGGGCTATAAAAACTCCCTCCTGCCAGGCCCCCTCTCTCTTGCTCTCTCTCTCTCTTGCTCTTTATCTTTCTTACGGGGCGCTCTCTGTCTCTCTCTTGCTCTTGCTCTCTCCCTGTTCATCTCTTCTCTTTTCTCTCTCTCTCTCTGTCTCTCTCTCTCTCTGTCTCTCTCTCTCTCTCCTTCTTTCCTTTCTTTGTTGCACTGCTGCAATAAAGATCTTTTGGTTGCTCGAGTGTTGTGGTCACTTTCCTTTCATACAGGAAGTAGAGTTGCACCACATGTGCAATCATACTTCCTACGTGTACCTTGGGTAATGACAATCATCTCATTCCACCATCTTTCCTACCCCCATGCCCCCCCTTTCCCTCATTCCCCTTTGCCCAATCATAGTTCCTCCATTCCCCCCCCCCAAACACACACACACACCCATTATTGGTCAGCATCCACTAATCAGAGTGAACATTTGGCCTTTGGTTTGGTGGAATTGGCTTACTTTGCTTAGGATGATATTCTCCAACTCCATCCATTTACCTGCAAACGCCATAATTTTGTTCTCTTTTAATGCTGAGTAATATTCCATTTGTCTATGTATCACAGTTTCTCTCCATTCATCTATTAAAGGGCATCTAGGTTGCTTCCTTCAATGCCTGTTTAACATACATTTTGCTCCATGCTCTGCCCAGAACAATGTATAAGCTCCTGAGCTGGTACACCAAAATGTTTATCTCCTCTCATTTAAACAAATCCTGCTGTGTTTACTTTCCTCCATGATCGTATGTTATTCTTCAGAATGTCGCAGAAAAGAACCAAGAGGAATTAGTCTCATCTCAAAACTCCAGTTTCATGAGGCCTATAAGAAAGTTACATCAGGTCCACCCCTTCCCACGGAGACCCAGCTCTGAGTCACCTTCTCTTTGTTATACTAGTGATGAGAATCAAAGCTGTTTCCCAGATTGGAAGATTGAACACCCAAGAAACACAGAGGCTGAAAAACCAGCCTCTGCCTCAGAGCAAAGCCTGTCCAAGGAAGGGACATCACCTTTGTCCTTGGAAATGTTACCGCTGTTGGCTGGTGACAAGTCCTTGCTTCCCCGATGTTGAAGAATAACACCAGAGAGCACGCCGAGGCAAGGTCAGAGTGGAAATTAGAAGTTTATTAAAGGACAGCAGAAAAGACTTCTCCCAGAGGAAGAAGGGGACCCAAGAGGTGGAATCCGTGGAAGTGCGGTTGTTTCCCCTTTTTATAGTTTTGGTGATGGAATGGGAGGAAGGGTTGGGACACAGGTGATCTGGGCAGGAAGGACTTCATTATCACTTCTCTGGGATGGGCTATCTCCCAATCTGTTGGAGGCTGTTTCCAGGGTTCCATTAACATTTCTTTGGGGTGGACTTTGGCCTAGGGCCTTTCAGGGACTTCATTAACATTCCATGAGTTGTCCTGCATTTCCGGAATCATTGTCAGCATGGCCTCCATTTTAGATCTTACTCGATATTAGACCCGATTTACCTAACTACACTGACTACCTAATTTTAAATCTGGCTTCAGAAAGACCCACAGAGCACTCCTAGGCACATTCCCACCCTGCTAAGTGGTTTATCTACAAATAACAGGAGAGACCTGCTGTGCCAGGTGTCCCTGACTCAGTCAGCCTAGGTGGGGACCCTTAGCAACCCCCTAGCAGCCACCAATCAGCATGAGACAGGGCAATACCCGGGATGCCAGATGACCCTCCCAGTAGTTTATGGCGGTTGATAACATGTTGGGAAACCATGTAGATCAGCACGAACACCTCTCTTGGCTTAAACCAATCAGTTCAAATGAATACCCCTCTTGTAGTAACCAATCACCCCTACCCAACTTGTTCCCGCCAGTGAATGTGTTAATCATGTTTTAGAGTTGTTATTTGATTTTCCCGCGGTGTGTGATGATTTGCTAAGAGATGCTATGATGTATGTGGGGTCCCTGCCTTCTCCAAAGAATGTATAAAACTGATGCAAACCCTGGGCTCAGGGCATCTCAGCGTCACCAGTTGCTGTGTGTGCGCGCGGAGGACCGAGCTAGCTCACAATAAACACCTCTTTGCTGTTTACATCGATCTCTGGTGGTCTTTTGGGGGTCCTGAATTCAAGCATAACAAGGCAAATGTAGAAAGCAAGTTTTATTTAAAGGATAGAAGAGACAGACCTCTCCCCAGGGAGACGTCAGGTCGGTGGTGGTGACTTAGAACAAAGCAGCCCGTGCGGGAAAGAAACTTCAGTCAGGTGTTGGCAGAAACCCTGTCAATCAGCAGGACCCCCTGGCCAATCCTGAAGTTCAGCCAGCTCCCCCACACACACCAACTCCAGCGGGACAAGAGACTCTAAAAACACCTTTTCCTGTCCCAAGCCCTTCCCTTCCTGCCTAAGCCCCATAAAAGTCCAGTCCGGTCAAGCTTCTACGCGGTTTCTCCTCAGACCCTTCTCCTGTTCACTCTGTTGGTCTGACCCAGTTCCTCCCGGGAGTGATATCTCAATAAAGCCTCCTTCAGCAGCCTTTTAAAATCTGCCTCCTTTGGTTGCTGCCCACCTTGCCTGATCTTACAGAAGGGCATTCAGAGGTCATTTCTTACTTCTCATGCCCCCTCTTTTTTGTTTTATTTATTTATTTATTTACTTTTTATTTTATTACTTTTTTGTGTGTGTGGTGCTAGGGATGGAACCCAGGGCCTTGTGCATGGGAGGTAGGCACTGTATCAGCTGAGATATAGCCCCAGGGCCCTCTCCTCATATCCAGCCCTGTGGCAAAAAGGCAGGAAGGGGGAAATCTAGGGGTACCTCTGCCCATTTTCCATTGTCTGTCCAGAAAAGCATGAAGGGAGCCACCAGGGAATATCACTAACAGTTTCCTGCAGGGAGGAAACTTCCTGAGAGGCAGATGACTGTGGCCACAGGTGAGGGGGAGGGGCATGTGTCCTGAAGGCAGTAGATCTCCATTCCCTTCTAATCTGCTTCAACCTTCGCGACCTGAACCCATCATCTCTCTACACTAACTACCTGCCCTTGTTCTTGCTTCATTCAGAGAAGTCTGTCTCCATCACTTTCTTAGATGAAACTTGCTTGCTGGGCTTGCCTTGTCTCTTGTCTGGTGTTCAGTCTTTGACTGTGGGGAACAAGGACCCCATCTCCACCAGACCTGCATCACTGTCCTGGGCCTCCTGTGCTGAAGCCTCTGATGAAGGTGGAGTCTGGGGAGACTCGAGCCCTGCCGTGCCTCCTGCCCTGGGTGCCTTCCATGCCAGGGCATGTGGCTGGGGCAGAGGGGCTCAGTGCATTTGCCAGCTGCTTCCCAGCACAGAGCCACATTCCCTTGTATGCATCTCAGGTGTGGAGCTGGCCACCGGGTGACCTTGGTCATGCAGGATGAGCCCAGTGCCCCTGCTCAGGGATGGTGAGGTCCATCTGTGGTCAGGGCTACAGCTCCAGGTCAGCCTGAAGGGTCAGGTGTTCCTGCTGCCTGCCCCTGAGGGGCCGAGTTGTGGCCTAGGCCCCTGTGTGCCGCTTCTGGCTTGAACCCTGACAGCGTTCGCCTCTCTGAGGGGAAACCCTGACAGCCAGGCCCTCTCCAGGCTGCCCCTGGGCTGTCCCTAAGGATGAAGTTGAAAGAGGTGGCAGCAGCTCAGCCTCCCGGGGGGCCTGGGGCAAGAGGTGAGGTGCAGAATGACCCCAAGGCACAGAGGAGAGTCGTGATAGGACTGCACCCACTAGGTCCCCGTTTGATTGGCAGCTCACCCAGTGCCCTCTCCTTGAATCCGTCTCAGGTTCAGTCCCCACAGTGGCTGTGTGCACCCTGGGCTCATGACATTGCTGAGGTCAGCATCCCTACTCTGGGCGCTCACCCAGTCTGGCCCAGGGAAGTTATTTCTGAGAATGAAACGTCTCCTGAATCCCACACTCTATGGCCACTTCCAGGCAGCCCTCCTCAGGACCTGGGGCCCCATCCACCTCCTTCTCCTGTTGGCCGTGGTGAGCTGCTAGGACTTTGCCTTGTCTGGGGCTCCAGGTCCCGTGGACCCTGTCTCCCCTCACACGCAGGCTGCCCAGGGCCTGCATCCAGCTCTGCCCATGGGGAGGCTGCCCTGCCAGGGTCCTCAAGCTGCCCTGACTGGGCTAGAGAGAGGCCCCTACCCTATGCACCTGCCCCTCACAGGAGCTGCCCCCTCAAGAGGAGGCTGAGCTCTGCTCTCTCCATCATCTGGTCCCAAATGCAGCCTCTGCTGCCCCAGGGGTGAGCAGAGGGACAGGCCCTGGGAAGCAGTCCAGGACACAAGAATCAGGACCAGCCTCCTGCTCCATCCTACTCCACTTCCCCCCAAAATACCTGCAGTGTTGCTGGCCCACTGGGTGCTCTGGCCTGCGAGTTCTGACACGGTCCTGCTGGTGGTAGCCAGTTCTGCCACATGGTTCCTAGTGACTGTTGAACCTGTCACACAAAGAAAAGTCCACCAACTCCAATCTTAAGCCAAATTAAAGCAACCTTATATTGTGTACACAAGAGAGCTGATCAGTGACTGCCTCACCCAGAGACCAGGCCAGAGGACAGCATCTGGTCTAAGCACAGGAAGGTTTTTATAGCACAAAAATTTAAAAAGTGGGGTGTCTTGGGAACTTACAGCTAACAGGGTTCTGGCAAGCCTAACACAAGAGTAGATAACAGGTTAACGATTCTACATGGCTTAAATTTCAAGGTAGGGAATTAACTCAGATTCCAACATCAGAATTTATAAGGAGCCGCTGAGGTTTTAGGGAGGATTGTTATCTGGTCAAGGAGAGCCAGGCCTGGTTGAGTTCAGAGCACGGGTGGGAATTCCAAACAAGTTTAAACATCACAGTATGGTCAGGCCAAATAAATATCTTAGTGTTGTAAAGTAAAACAGAAATGAACTTTTCATGACCTTGTGACAAGATGGCTCCCAATCTTAAGATGGAATTAGGCTGGGTTCATCAGTGGCCAATATCCATCATTAGAGACTGAATAGAAAAGCCCACGGTGTCCAGCTACCACGCACCCAAACCCGAAACCGCCCCACCTGGCACCCTGCTTCACCTGGGCTCCCTGTGACGGGTCGGCAGCAGTCCACGCTCCTCCGCCAGAGCCTTCTCTCCTGCAGGACCTCCTGAAGGAGTGGAGGACAGATGGCCAGTGCCTGGACCCAGGAGGCTCTGTGCCTGGCTCCACCATAGGCAGGTACTCTCACCAGGGCCCTTCCTCCTGGCTGACCACACTCTGCCGACTCCTGCCCCAGTGACCAGGTCTGCTGGTTGGTGGATGCAGTGTGGCTTCTGCCAACCTCCATTGTTCCTGTTCCAGTCACACATTTGGGGAATGGAAAGTGCCTGCTGGGACAGTCCATGGCCTGGGGCCCATTGTGAGTGGACTTTAGATTTGGACACTGCTGACCCCTTGGTGCCACATGGACAAGGAGCCATGTCGACACTCTGGGTGTCGAGACCCTCACCTGCTCCTGTGTGTCCACTGGTGCCCAGCACGTCTGGAGTCCCCTGTCCTTGAGTCCATTGCCCAAGTGATGTCCACATGATCTGTGGGGAAGGACTTGGGCGTAAGAGTAATAGTCCACAGCCATCGCATGTATGGCCGAGTCTTTTGTCCTGGGGACTCTGCCCTCCCTAGTCACAGGGCTGCATCTGAAGTTGAGTGAAGGCTCAGGGTCTGACCCCAGGGGAGCATGGCCCTGGGTCCTACCTCCCACCCTTGCTCCTTGGCTGGTGGGGACTGGGCAGTGACCTCCTTCGCTGGCCTGTTTCCCAAGAGGGACCCAGTCTTTGGGAACATTCTAAGAGCTCTCTGCCTGCCAAGGAGCACGGTGACAAGACTGCTGTCTTCCTGGGCTCCCGCCTGCTGCGAGCACACCCCAGCAGCCGGCAAGCTGGACAGAGGCCCTCCAGGGCTTCCCATCCCTGGCCTTGGAGAGTGGGGCACCTGGCCTTCCTGAAGCAGCTGAGACTTTCCCATCCTGTGACAAAGGATGGACCCCTGCACCATAGGGAGAGGGTACAGTCCCCTCCTCCCAGGGTCCCAGGAGACTTGAAGTGCTGGTCTCCCCAAATGAGGCAGAAGCCGGGAGATGGGCCCCCCACTGAGGGAAAGAGGGATACAGAGGCTAGAGACGTCGCCTTGCTACATACTGGGCCCCTCAGGTCCAGTCACGTGGCCCTGTTGGTGTCCCCTGGTCTGCAGACTGCTGAGCACGGAAGGGGGTGGGAGGGGCTGAGGCCCAGCTTGGTCCAGGGGTGCAGGGGAAGAAGCAGCAGGCCACCCAGCTCCCACAGCAAGGGGGTCCAGGGCACGGTTAGCCCAGGGATACCCCAAGGCCACCACCATTCAAGGCCCTGACACAAACCCAGGTCTCAGGTGTGACTGGGCAGAGGTTTGTTCTCCCCTGAAGGCCAAGGACCTGGGCGACTGCCCCCCATCTCTGGGCTGTAGACTCCTGGTTCCCATCCTCTGCACCCTTCCTGGGCACCTGGAGCCCTGGGAAGTTTAGACCTCGTCAATCTGCCTGCAGCCACCAAATACAGGGAAAGCCAGATGCCACCTGGCACTGAGCACCCACAGCAAGAAGTCAGGAACTTGCAGAACGTGGGACATGCATGCGACAGCAGAGGGAGAGGGGTTCAGATGGTGCACCAGGCTGTGACTGCCAGCAGACCCCTCCCCAGGCGAGATCACAGCACACCCACGTACAATGCACTTTATTGAATCCCACTGTGGACAGATGGGTGCGTGTCAATGCTTCAGAAAGCGAGGGGTACAGGGGCAGAGCCTCAGCCCAGGGTACACGGCCAGCTAGGGAGGGTTGGACATGGCGAGAAGGGAAACTTGATCTTGCCTCAAATACAGGAAACTCTTTCAAATGTTAGTTGTTTGTTTTGGTGCTGGGGATTGAACCCAGGGCTGCCTGCATAGTCTGGCACCCTCTGCATGAAGCTCCACCCCTCACCCCTGCTTTAACTCTTTTTTTTAATTAGTCATACATGGCAGCAGAATGCATTTCATTTCATTGCACAAAAATGGAGCACAACTTTTCATTCTCTGGTTGTACATGATGTAGACTCACACATTTTGTTTTAACCATTTCAGCACTTAACCCTTACAGTAATATTAAGTACGCAATCATGAAGATGATGATCAGGATGATGGTGAAGACCATGGCACTGACGTTCAGGCACTTGGCAGTGGAGGCGAAGGCCTGGGCCCCAGTTATGTCACCCACCATCTTCCTGTCCCTAGACTGGGGAGACCAGATGCAGAGGGTCAGGGGAGAGGCAGGTGCTAGGCCCAGGCCCCCAGGGTCCTCTCTGCCCTTGCCTTTCACACACTCAGACTGTGCAGCAGGCCCCAGTGCTGGCTGCTCACCCCAGCTTGGGAGACAGCCTGGGGTGCCACACTCTGCAGTGTGCAGCGGGTATTTCTGCCATTGGGCATAGGGAGAAGTCCTCTGGGTTGGGGATGGGGACAAGAGTGACCCCAGATTCCCAGGCTGCTCCCTCCTGTGTCTGCCCTGGGAGATCCCCTAATGCCCCCCACACTTATCCAGAAAGTGGAAGGCACACAGGGTCAATGCACACCAGCCATAGGGGGTGATCCACAGCAGCTCCCCCAGCACACACAGACCCACACAGATGCAGGTGGAGTGTCAGCCTCCCATGCACTTTCCCTAGCCCCTGGCCCCTCCCACTGCCCAGCCCCCCCACAGCACACACACCTTCACAGAGTAGGCGAAGGCTATGAAGCCCAGGCAGCAGAAGTTCATGAAGAGCGTGTTGAACAGGGACCAGGTGACATAGTCAGGTGTGATGTCCTCCCTGCTAATAGAGATCTCAGTGGACATCATGGGAGACAAGCCTGGCTCCTGGTGCACCTTGTTCTGCATTGAGAAGTCTGATATTGCTGAGGTCGGAGTCTGGGAAGTGCAATTCTTATGGCCCACAGAAGCCCTTTTGTGGAGTGGGGCCCAGATGCTAGGGGAGGGTCCTGGTAGGTCTGGCCCCTTCTCAGCAGCCTCCTCCCATGGACCCTAAAGTTCTGCTTTCTCAGAGGTTCTGCTTCCTTGTGTTTGTACATTAGTTAATTGTCTGAGGAAAGAAGATGGGGAAAGAAATTAGTAAGCGATGATTTCACTAGGGCCAGGTGTCTGGAGAGGCCCGAGTTGGGGGTGGGTACAGTACTTCTTGCCCAGGACCCCAATCAGAGCCTGCTCAGCTGACCCCTCTGTGTTAAGGCTGTGGGTGACCCAGGTGCTCTTCCCTGGCCTGCAGGTCTCCACAGTCCAGGCCAACAGCAGCAGGAGTCCACTACCCCTGTTCTCCCAGGTCCCTGAGGGTGTCCCCAAAGCCCACACTCACTGTCCTGGGCCCAGGTGCCTTCCAGGCCAGGGCACAGGCTCTGGAGCTCAGTGGATGAGAGGCACCTCCTGGGGGATCAGCGCATTTGCCAGCTGGCCCCAGCACAGAGCTGTTAGACCAGGATGCAAGAAAAGACCACTGACTCCAATTAAAATCAAATTAAAGCATTTTATTTGTTAAAGCATATTATTTTGACCAGTTGGGCTGCCTCTCCCTCCAAAAATGGCGGGAACAAGACAGCACCCCAGCTTTCATGCAGCCCAGCTTTATAGCCCAGAAAGTTACACAAAGGGGGGTTACAGATAACAGAACTCTGACGAGCATCACACTAATGGTAGTTTACATTTTTTGCTGGCCCCAACATCAGAATTTATGAGGACCATTACAGCCTCAGAGAGGGTCGTTGTCTGGCCAGGGAAGGCCAATATTTATGAGGTGTCTCTAAGTTTCAGAGAGGGCTGCTATCTGGTCAGAGAGCCAGGCATGGGTGAGTTCAAGGCACGGGCAGGCATTCCAAGCAGGTTCAGAATTTGCACTAATTTATAGTAAAGCCAAAATAATCTTTTCATGGTTTTGTGGCGAGATGGCACCCAATTTTAAGAAAAGATCAGGCTGGCTCTATCATTCCCCCCTTTTCTTATGTGTCCCTTTCAAATCTTTGATAGGGTAGGGGAAGAGCACTGAGGGAATTTTAATCCCTCAGGCAACAGTCTCCAACTTTTTAGAACTCACCCAAAACCGGTCTCCCTGATTTTACCTGACTTAATTAATTACTTATATTGATAGTCTACTTATTTTTGGCTCCATTGTTGTAAGAAGAAGGGCATCACTCATTTTGGCTTCTTCTGAGCTGAGAGATGGTGACGTGAGGGGGCACAGTGTGAGGGACATGAGTTGCCTTTTAGAAGTCAGTTCGGTTTGAAGTCTGGTTGGGGAAGAACAGGTTGTAAAGTCATCTGGGGATGGGTGCTTCTATGAGAGAAACAAAAACCATGAGTACTGCATAAATGTTGCAGCAGCTGGAACATGTCACTGTATAGAAGTTCCCTCACCAGGCTTTAACATCCCCAGTTATCAGGAATATAAACACAACATTTAACTTTTAGGGTTACAGATGTCCCTCCCCATAAGATACAGTTTAATAATTTAATGTCATCTGATCTTGCAAAATCCTTTTACTAGTATGACCTCAGTGTCTAATAGAGAAACCTTTAATTCTGTAACTCAGGGCTGGATAATCATACTAGCAAACATCAAGCCTACCTGTGTAGGTTAGGAATATCTGTAGGCCTTAAACTAAAAACTTCTGTCTCTGGCAGCTCCTCTTGATAGTCTCTTTTTATAGTTATCAGGCATTTCTGTCTGAGAATCCTTCTTTGTAGCCTCCAGTCTTTCTTATTTTGGGGGGCTAACATAAAGTGTATACCTTAAATTATTATTATTATTATTATTATTATTATTATTATTATTATTATCATTATTATTTAAAATGCCCAGGAATGGCTGTGTTTTGGTTTTAACTGTCTTTGCTAAGTGTTTAAGATGAAACAGTCAAACTGACTTTTGTTTCTATCTATTGTTAACAGTCAGCCGAGTTTCCATGGGAATCCTGGGGGAACTTGAGAGCAGCTTCTCAGTTCTGCTAGTGCCATTTGTGCTAGGATGGGTCCAGGTCTTGCTTGACCATGTGGCTTCCCTTGGAAGCATCAGGGATGTCTCCCTTCTCCAATGACCCTCCTCTTCATAGTGAATGCACTGATTGGCTTTCTGTTCTCCAGTGGTCTCATTAATCTCCCTGATCGGGAGGTTATGTGGCCTAGAGTTGTAAAGCTCTTTAGAGAAGTCCCCTGTTCCCTGGATTCAGACTGACTCTGAGGGCAAGAGCCAAATATTGGTTTTCTTGGCCCTTTTAATATAACTTTAATCTTTAAGTCTTGATCTTAAACATTTAGCAAATTCACCTTATCAGCCTTAAATTAAAAGTATTGAGCTTTAATGTCTATAACTTTACAATTATTTACCTTTTTTATTAATTGGGGTCTGTATAATCCTATCTGTCTTGTAGGTGATGGCTTATTATCTTAAATTAACCAAGGTTGTGTTCTTAAAGCAACACTTCTACAAAACACTAACAGGGAATCTTTAGCTCACTTATAAGGAAATTACAAAATAAAATTGACAAGAGTAAAAACACTTAGTTTGTGTAATAGCTATCCTGAATTTTTGGCTGAGTTATACTTTATATCCCCTGTTTAAGATCCTAGTAATCTTGACAGAAAAAAAAAAAAACAACTTTTGAACATAACTTTAAATGAACTAAAATCTGGCCTACTGCTTTTGTAGTCATTCTCACATGTTGTAAGATGGGACACAGAGCCTATTCTCAGGTAAGGCAGGGCTCTTCATAAATCTTAAGTGTTCTAGTTCTAAAGCTGATCTTTGCTTTTTAAATATCATTTTACAAAGTTTACATAAATTGTTTGAGGTCACATGAACATTAGCTAACACCATATGATATCACATTTAAAACATGAATTAAAGAAAGGCTGAAAGTTTTTAACCTTTACATAGATTAGGCTCTCGTTAGCTTAAAAATACATTTAAATTGTTCCCCAATGTAAAAAGTAACATAAAACTTTACATATCTTATTGATAACAGGTAAATAAATCCCCAATATATTTTTTACCATACAACTTCAGAACACCAGCTTGATATAATGCTCTCTTAAAGTTTCTATCTTACAGACTTGTATACCTGGAAGATATGAGCACATTAATAGCATCACAATTACATTGATGTTTTTATATTAACCAAGTTTAGCTTTTAAAAAAATGACAGTACAATGCTCTAAAATAACAGTCCTTATTTAACCAGTTGTTTAATTTTTATGGTTGCTTGCACTATAAAAAAATAAAACTTAATCAACACAATGTTATGGGTAAACTTATGTTTTAAGAAATTTTTGTCTCTTTAACACATGACTGATTGTAAAAACAAACTTATACAGACCTTAGTAAATCAATCAGATATCTAACAAAAGTACTCATGAATGAATAATCCCATATCAAATTTACTTTACTTATTTTACCAAAATATTAGACAAGTATATTGAACAGTGCTAGCCATTATTTTTTGTTGTTGTTGAAGGAAAAGTCCTAGAACCAAGGCATATTAGACATTGTATAGACATTAATATTTTATGAGTTTTTTTTTAAACACCAAGGAAAACTTGTAAGCTTAAATTTAAAGACATTTATTTTTATCTGTTTATCTAATTTAAATTGAACCATTTAAATCACATGAATTAAAGATCTTTGGATCCACTTTTTAAAATTTGTTTTTATGAGCACTCCTTATATATGTTAATTTGTATATCATATATATGATATACAGACATATGTACATATAGACATACAACACATAACAAAAGTGTGCACACATAACAATATTAAAGGCCTTGTAGCTTTTCGCAGGTGAAATCTCCATTGTAATGTTTCAGAAACTCCACAGTTGGTCAAAGGTAGAACTGATCAGAAAAACATTAACCTAGGTCTGTAGGATCAAAATCATGAGCTCAAAAAAATACAGAATCTAAGGAAAAAACAAGAGTCCTAGAAAAAATGACTGGCCAGTAATTAGTAAATACCACACAATTTACTTTTTTTTAGGTCTCAGATGAGTCTCCTACTGAGCTTGCAGGCTTCTTTCATTTGCATTTCAACCTAAGTCCTGGCTGAGGTCTGAAGGAGCAGGAAAAGCTGCTGTTCTGAGCAGACACCTCAGGCCTAAGGCATTTTAACCTTAAGTCATAATTTTCAGGTTTGGATGTTGAAAATTATGATACAAGATTAAGATACAATTCACAAAATTCTATATCTTTACATCTTGTTTTGTCAACAGATCCCATACTATGATTTACTATCCTTGTCCAAATTAATGCACTGGTACACACAGTGACATCTTCCCAGGCTACCCAATTCAAAATTGGTGAAAAAAACTGAATGATTGGGAGTTACTTGCCAACTTGGAAGTAGAGTTCTTTAGTTTTCCATCCTAAGTATTTAAGTTCTCTGGCATGAATTATCTGAAATCATAAACTAAACAATTACCTAAACCCAACTCTTAACTTCAAGATTGTGCAATGCTTCAAAAACCCATTCAGATACCAGATTGTTACAATAAAACATCATCTTTTAGACACACATTCAGCCAAGATCATTCCCAAGAAACAATCTATAATATCAACACACTATTGCCCATGTCTTAAAGGGCCAGAAACAAAGACACAGGACAGACAGACAGAAAGGAGCTCCAGACTATGGCTGACAGACAGAAACCTTTAAAACAGAGAAGATAAGAGAAAAATCTCCTACACCAGTGGCACCATAGATGTCTCCACAAGGGGACCAGATGTTTTCACAGAGGGGCAACCTGAAATGTAAAATCAAGGGTCTCCATGGCGACTTTACTGCATTAAGTGTCCCCTTTTTCTTTTTCTCTTTTTTTTTTTTAAGAAGACAGAGGTGGCATAATCCTTACAGTGCAAGGAAGGAAGGTGGGAATTCCCTGAAGCAACAGGGCTTGGGCAGCTGCTGGGAGTCCCTCAGTCCCTCCTTTTACTTACAGGATTAGCTCCTCTGGTTCGGTTCCACCCCAGG